ATCCTTAGTACATCCTTTCAATGTAATGTTTATTAGTGGTGGTACATTAGTACAAAACTGATGAACCTAAAAAAAATACATAGCCATGTTGTTTTAAGCAAGTGTAATCACAACACAGTAAACACATCATGGGATATGATTATTAAGTACAATATAGACTATACATTATAATACATGGTACAATTATTACACATTACCTATAATACATTATAATACTATAGTCTGTCTATCATCATTTAACACTACTATTCACTATTACTATAAAGTTATCATAGCTGGCTATGATTAATCCTATTAGGGAACTTACAGATACAATAAAATGAAAAGTCCAATTTACATTCCCTCTTTCCTTATCAGTTACATATAACTCTACATCTACTGTATAGAATAATCACTTTAGGCTCTCAATAAGTATAATTACTTACTTGTTGATTGAAATCCAACAGTTATGTTACTAGTAGATCCATTCCCAGCTTTATTAGTAGTTGTAATGTTAAACAGATATTGTTTATTGGTTGGGTTCATTGGACAGTAAGTGTAGTTAGTGATAGAGTCATTAAGGTACTGTTGATCAGTTCCTACACTGATTATATACTGTACTGTTAGTCCTGGTAGTGTGAATGGAGGATACCAACTGATAAACATACAACAAGAATCTAACTGATATCCTGTTAAACTGCTGACACTATCAGGTGGACCTGTCAATGAAGAAATTTACATTATCATTGCCCAACAGGTAATTGTGCTTTAACTAACTGAATATGTTATACTGACCTTGTACATATAGATATGCTAGTTCAGTGGTAGCTCCATTGAGTGCTTTACAGGTAAATTCTGTACCATTTACTTCACTTGTTGCTGTTAAGGTGAGTGATGCTAATCCAGCAGAAGTTAATTCTGAACCATCAACTGATGGATTAGTCACAAAAGAGGGAGGATATTGAGTCACATTAGTAGCACATTCAAATGTCACAGCATCATTGACATATACATATTGTGTCTCTGGTACAATAGTGAAGGAGATACTGTTTACATCTGAAACTATAAATAGTGTAAAAAGAGTAAATTTAAAATTGCTTACCATGAATAAAAAAGAAAAAAAGATTTATTAGAGAAAGTAATATTTTCTTCATACTTGTAGCTTTTGCTAGCTAAAAAAGTGATCCAACAACTTCGCTTGCTCTAGCTTATATAGTTAATATAAACTTCGTCTAATAATAAATTAACTTAACTAGGTCTCAAATTATTATTAAGAATTATAAATTTCAGTTATTGCACACATTCAAAGACAAAGTACTTATTTTAAACAGTCACACACAATACAATTCCCAACAATAACAATTATAGTTTAGATAACTCATCAGCTAATTCGTACTCATCAACATCAGCTGATCTCAAAACACTCAATAAAGTAAACCATGTAAACGGCCGACTACCCATTTCTTCCCATACTTCAAACACTTTCACCAATCCTTCATTTTTATTCCTCATCTCTTCGAGTTCGGGAGGTGTCAATGCTAATGCAAGTCCTATTTTGTACCACTTTTTTG